AGCTTACCTGAAACTGCCAACACAGATGCCACAATATGTTACCCAAGATCACAAGAACAGTCACACGTTGCCTACCACCGCTACCACTAAAACTGGAAGGAGGATTCATTGGCATTCTAGTTCCCAGCACTTCACCATAGCCTCCACCAACAACTGCACCCTAACACACCAAGAAATCCATACATATCACAATTTATAGGCAAAGAAATGAAACAGAGTCTTCACCATTGCATACACAGCAAAGTGTCTGTTTGTGATCTTGGGTAACATGTTGTGACATCTGTGTTGGCAGTTTCAGGTAATTCTAATTTTTTATTCTAAAGAAACTCTCTAAGATGCAAGAGGAATCTGAAACCAGTACAAAGAAATCAGAAAATCAATTCAGGATGAATGAGAAATTTACCAAGAAGACAGGTATCTTTAAAAAACAAAACAACAACAAAACAGAAAGCCAGTCATAGTTGCTCATGCATATAATCGCAGTACTTTGGGAGGCCAAGGCAGGAGGACTGTTTGAGGCTAGGAGTTCAAGATCAGCCTGGGAAACATAGCCTGAGAGACCTTGTCTCTCAAAAAAGAAAAATTAGCCAGGCATGGTGATGCATGCCTGTAGTCTCAGCTACTCAGGAAGCTGAGGTAGAAGGATCTTCTACCAAGCCCAGGAGGTCAAAGCCGTGGTGAGCTATGATCATGCCACTGCACTCCACCCTGGGCAACAGAGTGAGACCCTGACTTAAAAAAAAAAAAAAAAAAAAAACGAAACAAAACAAAACAAAACAAAAACAGAAATTCAAGAAATAAAATTCTTAGAAGGAAATACAAAATACATTTGAAAGCTATAATAATAGATTAGACCAGAGAAGAAAAAAATTCAGAACTTGAAGAAAGGTATTTTGAAATAATCCAGTCAGAAAAAATAAAGAAGAATGAACAAACACTGTTAGACATTTGGGACTACCTAAAGCACCTGAACTAATAAATTTTGGGTATTCCCAAAGAAGAAGTCAATTCAAAAAGCTTGGAATGTCTATTTAATGAAATAATAAATAAAAATGTTTCAAGTCTTGCAAGAGATTTAGACATCTAGATACAGAAGGCCCATCAATCCCTAGAAAACTGCAACGCAAAAGGACTTCACTGCAGCATATTATCAGATTATCTAACGTCAAAGTGAAAGAATGAATTCTGAAATCAGGGAGAGAAAAAAGTATAGTCATTTATAAAGAAAACCTTAATAGACTAGCAGCAGTCTTCTCAGCAGTAGCCTTACAGGTTAGAAGAGAAGGAAAAGATATATGCAAACACTGAGAAAAAAAAAATAACTGTCAGAAAAGAATTCTATTAGCAAGATTAAGTTTTATGAATGAAGAATAAAGTCTTTCTAAGAAATGCTGAGAAAACTTTCACCAGTAGTCTGGCCCTATATAAAGTGCTGAAAGGAGTGTTAAACATAGCAGAGGACAAACAATATTTGTCATCACAAAACACATAAGAGTATAAAATCACTGATAAAGCAAACACACAAAGAAGGCAGAGAAAGTAATCAAATGGCAACACTACAGAATTCCACCAAACCATAAAGACAGACAAAAAAAAAGGAACAAAAAAATTATGAAACAACCAGAAAATAGTCAACAATATAACAGGAACAAAACCCTACATATCAATATTAAATTTGAATATAAATGTATTAAATGCTACACTTAAAATATATACCTCGGCTGAATGAATTTTTAAAAATATGATACAACTATATGCTGTTTACAAGAAACATACAACTATATGCTGCTTACAAGAAACATGACTGTATCACCCATGTGTTCCACTACAAGCAACACATGGACAGTCTTGATGGGCAAGCCCCTAAGTTATCATAAAACGCCAGTTAAAGACATTAAAAGTATACCATTTTTTCATTATATCAGTAAGTCAGTGTCACATTTTTGTTACAACTTAAATGACATGATCTATTTTCACACAAGGTCACCATATCCTAAGCAGTTATCAGAGTAAAAAAGAAACATAGTATTAGAGCTGCCAGAGTAGCATAGCATGATATAAAAAGGAATAAGACTTAGACACAGACAGATCCAGTTTTTATTACAGCTTCATTATGCACTATTGGTATAACATGGTAAAGTTATGTACATTTTCTAAAGTTCTATTTCCTCACTTTACAAAGATTTGAAACACACACACAACTAAATCACCCTGTATAATGCCTGGCATAGAAAAGTTTCGCAGCTAACATCTATGTGGTAGTATAATATAATGGCTTAGGAGTGTGACTATTAGTGTCAAACCCAAAACTCTGCCACTTACTTAGCTGTACAACCATGGAAAACTTTTAAAACTCTGCAAGCCTCAATTTTAGAAGTACGAGGGAGAATCCCCTGCAAAAACAGAATTATCTTTTGAAGGGTGGGTTCCTGTAGTGCACTCAGAATTTGTTCCTCTGGATCAAACAATCATTTAAAGTTTTTAATCTGGAAGTTTTAAGAAGACTGCATCAAAATTTGCAGAAGAAGCTTCCTGAGTTGTGGAAAAGAGGTGACTGGTTCTTCTATCATGACAATACCTGCCCACACCTAGCTAAGTGTTCAGCAGTTTTTGACCAAAAAAGGCATGATCCCCCATGTCTACCCTCCCTATTCACCCAATCTTGCCTTCAGCAAATTTTTGTTGTTTGTTTTCCCAAATGAAAAAAGTCCTCAATGGGAAATGTTTTGCCAATGTGGAAGAGGTAAAACAAAAAAGTCTTCAGCACTAAAAGACATCAAAATTGTTTGTTCAAAATCTGTTTTGAGCAGTGGAAAAACTGTCTCAATAGGTGTATTGCATTAAACAGAGAGTACTTTGAAGGTGATTGAAATTTAAACATGTAAGAACAAATACACATTTAAAAAAAAATAAATTCTAACTTTTGGGGGGCTTCCCCTCATACATGTATAAACTAGAACTATTAATGGGCTTGTAAAATTAAAAATTCTTGGGCAACCCTCTCGGGTCCCCTCCCACTGTGGGGGCTTTTCTGTCCTCTCAATAAATTCTGCTTTCTCAAAAACAAACAAACAAAAAAATTCTTAGTATAGCATTTGGCCCACAATAAACACAAGAAATGTTTGTTATTATTATGTTATCTTAATTAAGCATTTAAAGCGTTAAAATATATATTACTGTTCCTATAATATACCCAGAATTAGCAAAAGATAATTTCCAGCATTCTCAATGGGTCAATGCACAATTAATCAGGTCACCTCAATTTCTTTTTTACATAATATAAAATACAAATGACTAAACCATTTTTATTTATTTATTTTTTTTGAGTTGGAGTCTCACTCTGTCACCCAGACTGTAGTGTAGTGGCCACTCCCGGCCACCGCAGCCTCGACCTGCTGGGCTCCGGCGATTCTTCCGCCTCAGCCTTCCAAGTAGCCGGAATTACAGGCGCGCGCTACCATGCCCGGCTAATTTTTTTTTGATTTATTGTAGAGATGAGTTCTCGCCATTTTTAAACAGAAGCAACTTTGAAAAAAATTACTTTAAGAGATAAACCCTCACCAAGAAGACAGTAAAAAATTACTTTCTATTAGAGGCAGAGGAAAAAAAGATAATTTAGCTGTTATAGCATAACTATTAAAGTGAATGAAAAAACAGATCCCTAAAAAATAAAAATTTAAAAAAAAAAGGATTAGAGTCTATAATACTTAGTGATCTATCACAGAAACAAAGAACTAAATACCACATGTTCTCACTCATAAGCAGACCCTGGACATTTATCATAATACTATAAGAAAGGAATTGGCAGTAGTGAGACACTGCCAGAAGTGGTGGAGGGAGGCACATAACATCAATAAAGGAACTTGATCTCAAACCAGGCAAAGGGGGGACCAAAGGAAAGTCCAAACTTTATCTGTATGATTACCACTTACCTATGTAATCCTGAATTGTACCCCACATCTTAAAATAAAAAAATAAAAAATTTATGAAAGTAAAAACAGACCCCATAAAATAGAAGAAAAATATAAAAAGGGAACAGGCTAAAAAGCAAGAACACTTTTTAAAAAATGAACATGGTTAAAAGAAGAAAGAATTATAGGGAAAAATAAAAAACTTTAAATCTGTACAAGACAGAAAAAAAGTAGAAATTAAAATGATGAAAAAGGAAGTAATGACATGGAAGATACTTGAGAGCAGTTAGAATGCAGAGTTTTAAAAAAGTAGGGGACAGAAATGAAAACAATAAAGGGGCATTTTCTTAAAACCTGCAGCTAACATACTACTTAATGGTAAGAGACTGAATACTATCTCCCTAAAAACAGGAACAAACCAAGAATGTTCAGACTCACCACTCCTATTCAGCATTATGTTGAAAGTGCTAGTCAGTAAAATAAGGCAGAAAAAATAAATAAATGCTGTACAGACAGTGTTCTCTTTTAGATGTTCTATTTGAAGTATGATTACCCTACACACTATTTTAGTTCGTTGTGGAGGAGTCAAGTGTTCTGTGCCTCTAGTCAGCCATCCTGAAAAACCTCCCACAAGGCATATTTTATAATAAGGGTTTGAATCTCATGTGCTACATATCACTAGCCCAGGAAAAGATAAAAATTCAAAATATACTGAAATTGCAATTGTTTTGTACCATTGTAAATTCAAAAAATCCTAAGTCAAGCCATTGAAGGTCAGGGACCATCTTAAACAATTTTTTGACTTCATGACAATGTGAAAGCACATCTATTCAGTGGAAATCACACTTCAAATTTTGAATTTTGGTCTTTTCCTGGGCTAGCAATATGCAGTACGATACCTCGTAGTGATGCCGTGCAGTGGAATTGGAGCCCCCAGTCAGCCAAGTAACTCCAAGGGTAAATAACTGATACTCTATAGTGCACTGTGTTGCCAACATTTTTTGGATACTGTGTTTTCATATCCCATCATGTTTATAAAATGCCCATTTTTTTCAAGATATTTTCAATTTACAATGGGTTTATCGGGATATAACCCCATCGTTAAGTTGAAGTGCAACTGTGAATGCTTTCTTTTGCCTGACTACCTCTAAACAAAATATTCGCTTTTACAACCCTTCCAGTATAGTAATTTATGCCATAAATTATTGAAAAATATATTTGGGATAGTATATCCTATACCTTGTTGGGAGCCAGAGTCCTCTGCCTGAACTTTTCAACTGTTTCTTGACCCATAGAAGACCAAGCATTGACAAATGCTTCTGCTTTGTCTTGTCTAAGATGAACGTTCTCTAATTGCTGCTGCAAAGCTGCTGGCTTCACATTGTGATACACCGCCTATCAAAGAGAAATAAGAGTTACATATATTCACTCACAGTCACACAGAAAACTTTAAGCTATAATAAATACAAAATTACTTCTAATTGATTTAAATCAAAATAATATTTACTATTCCTATTGCTAACATTTTTGTTATTTTACAAATAAAATACACAATAAAATACAACCAGAAGATTCAGGATTACATAGCCTAAAACATTCAGGCTAAAATTTTTCATTTTTGCCTGTGGTTTAAGTAATCCTACATTCACTTAATAACCAAAAAAAATATTAGCTTTGACTATATAAATGGTATTCTAATTAAAATTTCACTTACTTATTTCACTTAAGTATATCAAAGAAGTGTACAATGGTTTTGTTTCACAACTAACAAATTTTTTCTTCAGAAGCACTTTCTCAAAACTAACTCATCTTTCAATTTCCTAGATAATATACAATTTTTTTAAACAGTGATACCTGTTCTGTTTCTTACTTGTACATTATTCTGGAACAACTTTCCTAAGAACCCAATGGCATACTGTCCTATTCAGTGATCCTTTTCTTCTACTGAAGACCCCCGCCAAAGGTTAGAACCACAGTTATCTTCAGGAACTATAATGTGTATAAGGCTGTCATAGATGCCTGGCAGCTTGCCCTCCTAATAGTATCTTTTTACTATAATGCTCAAGAGGCTACAGAACTATTTAAACTTTGGTTTCATAAATATTCTATTTAATCAATCAACAGAAATTTACTGAGAATCTATTTTAAGCACACCAATGTGCCAGGCTTATATAATATACACAAAAAATATAATCCTGGCCCCCACAAATTAAAAATCTAGTGAAGGAGACATAACTGACACATGTGAACTAATGAAAGATTAATAGTTTGCTCTACTGTGATGAGCCAAGGATTAAAAAAAAGTCCAAGTAAGAGAAGACAAAAGATATAAGAAGTCCAGGCTGAAGCAAGGGAGATGAGACTTGAACAGGAACTTAAACAGTGAAATGAATTTAGATGAGAAGGATGAAGAGGGTAGTTTCAGCCGGAAAAAATATGATATTTCTTTTCTAAATACCTTATTTATCATCCTAGCCAAATCCTCCAAATAATTTAATTTCTTAAATAAACTGTGTTCATTTTTCCAATTATCCCAAGTAGCACCGAATTCAAATCTTTTATAACTACCTCAAGTCAATGAAGTCTCAATTCATATTTTTCAAATACTTTACCAATATTCAAATATTTTCACATTGAAACTCTTAATTAAAATATTTTCCCAGCTTCTATCTCACATATTTTTTATTTTAAAAATTACAATGTTATAGATATTATAGCAATACAAATATATAGTAAACAAACCATTGTTAGGAAATTTGAGGCAATAAAAATACCTGTTCTAAAATAAATGATATTGTTTCAAGAACTAGATGAAGATCTTGTTTCTCTAGAGAAAATGCAGTTTGAAGTTTTTCTTCCTCTTCTTCACTGAAACTGCTCTCAGCCTATAATACAAATAGCAATCTATTAGCACACATTCAGATATTCAAAATTCATACTCGACAGAAGATTCATTTATTCATATATAGGATGAGAACTTTAAAGAAAAAGTGAGCCGGACTCGGTGACTCAGCCTGTAACCCCGCACCTTTGGGAGGCTGAGGTGAGTGGATTGCCTGAGCCCGCGGGTTCGAGACCCGCCTGGGCAACTTGGCGAGACCTCATCTCTACAATAAATCAAAAAATTAGCCGGGTGTAGTAGCACGCGCCTGTAGTTCCAGCTACTTGGAAGCCTGAGGCAGAAGGATCACCGGAGCCCAACAGGTCAAGGCTGCGGTGGCCGGGAGAGGCCACTGCACTCCAGTCTGGGTGACAGAGTAAGACTCCAACTCAAAAAAAAAAAGAAAGAAAGAAAAAGTGAATACCTGGTAAAAAAAAAAACTAATGTGCTTGTAAATTTCTAAAATGTATGGTACCCATTCTAGACTTATGTAAATAAAGTAAACTGGATTAAACAACTATCTTGTGACGACTCAAATCATAACTATGAGCATCAAAGTTCTGTGCTGCAGTATGCAGTATCCTGAAGAATTGGGATACATGGATGATTCTGCACTTCAGTTAAAAAAAAAAACTCAGACTTCTATGCTTTTAAATTTTTTGTGTCTGAATTTTGTAATTCTTATATTTCATTTCATGATCAGCAGTCTTTCTTGAAGTTGCCTATATGCCCTATGATAGGAGCATCTTCATCCCCCAGTTTGCTATTTCTAGTCTGTCCTGGTCAGGAACCCAGACAGTTGACCTCTCAGGACAACATATACAGCATAGTTACCTCAACAGGCTTTGGATGAGGACCCAAAATTCTCTCCTATGGAACCAAGTACATGAGAACTTTTTATTGCATAAGCTGTGACACTATATTTGAAACTCAGAGACCACAAATATTTATTTCTAAGTTCCCAGCTATAGAAATTGATCTGATTTCCTTCAGTATTTCCCAATACAAAATATAAGCATGGTAGATTTGAAATTTTTTGTACAGGACTGTCATGCACATTGCAAGATATTTAAAAGTCCCTGGACAGCCGGGCTCGGTGGCTAAGCCTGTAAAGCCGTGCCTTTGGGAGGCTGAGGTGAGCGGATTGCCTGAGCCCGTGGGTTCGAGACCCGCCTGGGCAGCAAGACCTCATCTCTACAATTAATCAAAAAATCAGCCAGGCGTGGCAGCGCATGCCTGTAATTCCGGCTACTCGGAAGGCTGAGGCGGAAGGATCGCCGGAGCCCAGCAGGTCGAGG